AAAACCATATCACAGCTTCACTCTTTCTTGAAACTAAGTGAAGTTTTCAGTGTCCTGAAGTTGGAAATTAACAATTCCTTGTCTTTAAGTTTGGCACTCATGTCAAGCTATGCTAGTACAGAAATGGCGATAGTGAGGCGCGCATGGATATTTGTATTGTTGCATCATAGATTCAAGCAACTTTGCCAACCAGTGGTAGTAATGCACATGCCCCTGCCTTATTTGCATATTTCATGGGAAAGGTCCATTGGTTGTTGACAGGTTATGTCTCAAAATATGTATGTGTTTGCCCCATCAGTTTCAAGCAGGAGCCACATTTTATCATTAGCATTAGTTGCTTTGACAGCTACAACTTTTCACACATGGTGGATTATTCTTTTGCTCTTGTCGTTGCTGTACTCGAGTCCATCAAAAGTCCCTGCAAGTCCCGGCAAGTCCATCACAAGTCATTCTGTCTTTAGCCAGTTCAAAAGCTGTTCAAATGAGCTGTGACAGAAGCATTCCGTTGTCAGTGTTCACCCCGTTACTTATGACTGACCTTGTGAAGGGACTTGTGATGGACTCAAATACAACACTGGCTGTTGTACTGACAGTCAGTCAGAATTTGCTAGCCACTAGCCGGCATTAGTTACCATGATAACAAAAGGAGAACGGTCCACTGTGGTTAGCACAACTTTCAAGCCCAGCAACAATGATTAAAGAACCAGACATGAGCTATGTACATCATACAATATTTATCGAGCGACCTGTTTTTGTCATCGGTTTTGTATCGATAGTTATTCCCAAAAATGTTGCCCTCTGGAGTTCACATTTGGTGGAGCTATCTAGCGGAAAATGTTGTTGAGTTGGCATTCTCGTGTGATGACTAAAAGGTCCCAAGCAATGAATCTGTTATCTCCTCATTAACATCTAGCCTGTTCTTACAAATAAGCATAGTTGGGTTACAGTGAATAATGCATCGGGACTTGATCAAGGGGATGATACTGTGAGCTAAAATACGTTGGGATTAAATTCTTCTGTTGCTGTAAAGATCCAGTTTTTAGTTTGTTATTTTCTTTTTTTAGTACGCCATTGTCCAATGACAGGCTGAGAATCCAAGTCAGTCGGATCAGCATGCACGACTATGAAAGACTCAACTATGACAAGGAGAAACTCAAGAAAGCATGTAAGACGCTTCGCTTATCATTGTCGTATTGGAGGCATTTTTCTGTACGCAGACAGATTTCACTGAAACAAAATTTCAGGGAGGTGTTTGTAACAGGGCCATGACTAGCATAAGTCCTTGAGGCTCTGAATTAACTGAACCCTGTGTGCCAGTTAGAGTTTGTGGCCCTGTTGCTGTGTGCCAGTCTGAGTTTGTGGCTCTGTTGTTTTCTAGGTCACCAACTCATTTTCACAAGTCCTCAACTCGAGCAAATGTTTTTACCTTCTGCTTAATTGCACATGAACATATGTTGCCATAAAAGGCAACACTCTTTAAGGCATATGTGGATGAACTTTTAAATACCTTGTGATTTGAATCGAATATGCCAAGTAATTCACGTGGCAGAAGTCAAATGAGTACTCAGGTGTAATCAGGGCAATCAGATCAGAAAGCCAGATGTAACAACTTTGTGCAAATGAACTTTCCACATTTTGACCAATCTCTGTCGTCAGCTGTACCGCTTGGCATCATCGTCGTTGACAGCGACAGTAACCTGGAGCACATCCGTGCCCACATCGATCGCTTGCTTGAGGTCTACATCCTCCAGGATTCCAATGCCAATGGCTCCGCCTCTAGCCTGTCCCCAACCTGGTGCTTCTTGGACTGTGAGTATGATACGGTCAGAATTTGATTAGCATTTTGCATGTGTCGGGGCATTAATCACTTGCCGCTAGGGTTTCCGGTACCAGACACATGTTCTTTATACACGTGGCCAGGATCTCCGAAATCGGACAAAGGGAACTGGGCCTTGTACCAAAAGACCGTACTCCTAACAAAAGACCAGGCTGCTGGGCATTACCGACATTTTTTCACTCTCAGTAGTGGAGATAATTCAGCCTTGTTTTGAAATAGTATACCACGGTTTGGGGGTTTTTGTGCGAGCAGGTTACCACCGGGGACAAAAGTGCTCCACCACCGCAGGGATGAGCCACACAGTACCGCTGCATGCTAATCTCGCCCCTATTGAAAAGACAATTACGTAACACCGCACAATCTGGGGTCTTTTTACAAGGCAGCAGGCCTGGATGAAATACTCCAGCATCAATAGATGTTGTGTGTCAGATTAGAGTAGAAACCAGACAGTCCTTCGTTGTGGGTGTAAGTGTCCAGTAAATGAAGTTTTTTTAAGAATTTTGAAAACAGAAAAAAATGATAAATATCCCACCCCAGGATCATCAACATTGATAACTGCCACCGGCATGAAGTGGTTAACCCTAACCCCCACTGGTGGGAAAACCAACATAGAAATTCAGTTTAATCAGAAATTAAATAGATAAATTGGAGAGTTCGCGACTCTCTAATAGAAATAATGTACATTTTTTTAAACTTAACTTTAGTGGAAATAACATCGGGGACAGCCCTCGGACAAAGTTATAGATATGGAGAGACAGTCAAACTTAGTGTTAGATAGTTCAACACGTAGAACACTTGTGTAGTATTCTGGAAGCTCTGCTTAAGAAACATTAGTCTTTTCTTCAGTCTTAATGTGTACTGGGTTTATATTAATGATTATTATTTAAGAGTAAGATTGAAAATTAGAAAGACATAGAAAATGTTAGTTTTGTGGTGTAACAAAACTAAAGATGTCGTCCTCCAAAATTTGTCAAGTTATTTTAATTGTGGGCTCTGTAAATCTTGCATGCCACACTTGTCTAGCGTTTGCTATGAGCTTGGGTTGTCCACCAAGTCATTCTGTATCACCTGACGGTTTCCTAACATCTTCCTTGACAAAATCAAACCAGCCACCACAGCCGATCGCTTCTTCCGAATCGACCGGTCCCAAGAGCACCTGCATTACATCACCGACATTTCGTCCGACGACTTGTATGTGCTGGACCCCGAGCGGACAAAGCCCTCCAATCTCTCACCAGAGAGCAAGTCGGGTTCCATGCCCGACTTGCTGGTCCAACAGGAGGTGTTGGGGGCGGCCAACCGCACCCCGTCGCCGATTCTCAAGCTGCCCCAGGCTCACAGTGCGTCCCAGCTACTCCAGGCTAGAAGGTAGGACAGCAGTGATGCTAAAAAACATGAAGTGTCAGCAATTTTTCAACCTCTTGCGGAGCATCCTCAGTGGCGAGCCCCATTTCTTAACTTAATGATCCGTTCCCACTCCAAGTTACCAAGAGTTGAATGGTACAGTGGTTTGTCTGACATGTTAAGCCTCTTTGTTCTAGACCAAAGACAAGGTTGCTTCATTGCACAATATGATGTCTTGTTCAGTGTTAATACAGAAGGTCAATGTCCAGTGCAGTGCATTTCTCACAGTCGTTAACAGTGGCACAGACACCAGAACATGGCCAGTGCCAAGCCATGTCCAAAAGTTGTGGCTCTGCTGGACATTAGTCCTGTACCCATGGAAGCCATTTGGCTTAAGGCTGCAGCCAGTTGCCGTAGACCTGTGCGCTACTTCAGCCACATCCAGTTTATACAAACACAGCCCTTGTGGCTTCAAGTGCTGTGTTTGTATTACGCCATGTACTGCTGTTAGCAGGAGTTCAGATGAGAATGGCAGATCAAATTTTTTTTCCAAAAAATTTGTTCATGCCCGATGTCAATTAAATTGAAGACACAAAATCGCTTACCATCCACAACTGATTTTACTCAAGACATCCATTGAACTTACTAAAGAGCCTAAGCCCTGTGTCTGCCATGACCAAGATTTTAATTTAAACTGCTTTCTTTGTGTTGAAATTTTACCATATCATCTTTACATTTAGCAGTCTTAACCATCAAGTTTTGTGTTGATTTATGATTAACCCGACGAGTGATTTTCATTCACTTTCCTGTTTGTGGTTTGTTGCTATCACCTTTCTAACCATTGCCATAGCGATAGTACGGATCAGGACGAGATCCCCAACTTACATGAGGGCGCCATTGGCATCCTATCCGAGAATACTAATTATGAAAACGAGTACCAACCAGCCACTAGCAGCAGGTACTCTTGATGTTGTGAGGCATGTTCATGAATATGCAAAGTGCAGTTGCAACATGTTCATGAATATGCAAATTCTGCTTTGGCAGTCAGCTGTGTTAAATCTGTGATTAGTGCATGTCAACAATTTGCAAAATGGCCGTACAGTTTCTGTTATTGGTATTTGTCGCTCTGTCCTTTTGACTGAAATGCAGTGTTTTGGTTGGTACCTTCTTGTGATATTCTCTTAAGTATGCCTGCTTCTGTTATCTTCTTTTTCTAGACCTTCGGTGTTTGGAAAAAGCACAGTTTAAATATATGTGCTGGTTATTACCAGTGGTTCCCCCTCTCTTTCTGGTTTTCTGTCTTTGCTGTTAATGTTTAGCGTGGTGTTTGTGGTACAATTCCTGCAAGTTGTGCGCATACCTAATCTTAAATATCTGACTTCAGCAATAGAAATTGAAAGGTTGATGCCAAGCATTGTTAAATTTTGATTTGGTACTGACCTTTGTTTGAAGGAGGATGGGCCTATCCTTACTGCATGTAGTAGACTCATTTGGTTGGATCTTGCCACATTTTGTCTCGTCAATATTCATCTGTGTTGTATGGAAAGCGGGTGATATTGTGCAGTCTGCTAAAGGTTCCGACGTGCCTCTGTCTTTGTTGTCGATGCTGGTCTCAAACACTTATGATTCTCTTACTTTTGAAATTGATCAAGTATAAAATATGGTACCTCTTCATTGAGAGATGCTGATTTTGGTATTTTTACCAGATCTTTGGGGTTAGTTAGTAAAAAAAACACAACGGACTTGGTGAGCCTTGTAAAGAAACTCAGTCATTTGCAAAAGGGATACTATCTCACAAGGATGCCAACCTTGTTCCCAAACTAACCTCTCCATGGTAACCGCTTATGTGATACGTCATATTGTGAATTGCCCTGGTTAACTTCTTTTATATGTTTAAGAATGGTGTTGGATGTACATGCAGTCATATCCTTTGGCTTTAGTAGATGCTGATCACCCGATTGTTTTTCCACAGATTTATAATGAGAATATTGTTCTGACTGTTTTTCCCTCCAGCTGTGAGGCGATTGTTTCCAACAACTCTCCCCAGCCACCCAGGAGGGACACCCTGTGTGTCTCTGACACAGCACACCTCAATCCTCTGGATAAGAGTAAGTTTGGATTCCAATCTACTGCCGCCGCTTCCCCAATTTTCTTCTCCCTATTTGCTTTGTCAGAGATGAGGTTTAACTCGTCTGAACCCAATAGAACCGGACAAAAGGAATTGGACACCGGCAATTTCCAACAAGTTCCCTCAGCTGGTCTCGTTTTCTGTGCTCAGTTCAACAACAAAGCCTCTCCACTGTTACATGCAGTCTGCTTGTGAATGATATTGCAAGGACTGATATTTTTCAGCCAGGTGTGGCTGATATGACTTACCATTCAGCCACATTTTGCATAGTGCTGAAAAAGATTGTTAGAGGGAATCTCTCAATTCAGTGGTATGCGAATTTAGATTTCCTTACAGGCTCTTGAAAAGCATTGGGTTTACATTGCTAAAACTTTGGAGGGTTAGACATAGAGGACTTCTTTCTTTTTTTTTCAACTGACAGCACTCATGGATGTCTCGAAGCGTGGGGACGTGGCCAAGTTTGCTGAACTTCACAGGAAAGGCGCCTACCTGATGACAGTTGACCAGCACGGCATGAACGCCCTCCATCACGCTGCTAGATTTGGCCACAAGGACATCGTCCAGTATCTCATCGAGAACGGTGAGTGACGGCATTCTGGACTGTGAACAGACACTTTCAGAATGAGCTTTCATTCGTGAGGTTTCCTTTCGCGTGACTAGCAAATACCTTTGGCCAAATTGAACGAGGAAAAGTTGAGGTTAGGCTGGTCACGTGACCCAATTGGATTGAGCGACTGAGGGACGGGCAGTGCCATTAGGACTCTGCGGCCTTCTCATTGGTTGCTGCTGTACATGTGCTGTGACACGTCCTCCTCCCTGGTCTCAGGATTGGCCAAACTCACCGCCAGGGCAGATTCAGTTTACACCTCTGCATGCTCTTGTGTAACTTGACCTCAAGTGGAAACTAGCGATCAGCAGTCATGATCAGCAATCATGATTAAGTTCCCTGTATACTTTAGGGCACGTTTCTAACAATGCTCACAAGATTGTATCCGTAAACTCGGATCTTTTCACTCTGAATGTGCCTCTCCACAACCTGGTGTGAACGACTAATATTCTTTATACTAAGCCAACCGTCGTGGTTCATTTTAAGGCAATGTATGCACATCTCACGCAGATACTACTAAAAATTTACTGCATTCTCTAGCAAGCTTTGTAAGTTGTCTAAGATTGTCCTAGCTCGAAATAGCTGGTTTTTTTTGTCATAAAAAAGGTTGCACGGAAAGTCCAGGTAATTTGTTATTACAGAAAATACCATCTAGCCATTCGAATCAATCCTTGAAGTGCCTAATTTGACAGGATGTTGAAATCATGTTCTGCCTACTTCTTCCTCCAGCTCATCCTCCAAAAGTCGGCTTTTTGCCTTTTTTCATAGCTTGGTTGATTTACGAAATGTTGACCCCACTTTGTTTTTGTCCACAGCCCCAGCAAGCATCCTGGACGCCGTTGACTATGAAAAGAACCAGACGGCCCTGCACAAGGCGGCATGGTACATGCGGCGCACCATTTGCGCAATGCTGGTGGAGGCTGGGGCCTCGCTGACCAAGACCGACTACCAGGGAAACACACCACGGCTCCAGGCATTGAAAGCGGAGGACCTGGAACTCGCCGCTTACCTAGAAAGTAAGACCAAAGAGGGCTCCACCTCCTCCTCAGACGTTTAAGGCCAAGCAACAGAGTATTCGCGTTTCGCGTACCCAGGCAGGTGGAATCTAAGTGTCCCGTGTTCTTTTTTTTTTCTGCATTCTCAGTTTAGTTTGGGTTTGGTGGTTGGTTTTTTTTGGTCATTTTTTTTTCCTTCTGATTTGAAATTATTGTAATTTTGGTGTACCTCATTGGCATGCCTTTTTCCTATTCATGTGACCTGTCAAAGGTCAATCCCACCATATGACCTGTGTTCCCATCAGCTGCATAAAAAGGTGAAAGGTCAATCCTCATGCATGTGCCGTTTATTCTGTAACTTTTGTGCATAGAGATTTTTGCCAACTCACTGGATGAGATTCTGCGAATCCAAAGAGAAAGATACAGTTACAGTTAACCACTAAAATGTTTGCTACTGTCCAAAGAATCCATCTAAAAGGAATGGAGAAAAATCATGGAATGAATAACTCTGTAACACTTGTGCTTGTGCACATTTTTTGGGAATTGCATTCTAACAAACTTTTTTTACCCGTTTCATAATTTCCTCTCTACTCACTGAATTGAAGTCTCCTCTGATTGTCGAAAAGGGAAGACAATTTTGGATATTTCACATTTGCCTTGCCTGCAGTTTGTGGTTTGATGCAAGAGGAGAGACTCTTCGTGGAATTCATCCGCACGGCTCATTTCATGTGCATGATGTTGGTCATGGTGTTGGCTGTTTCAAAGAAAAAGGGTCTGAGTTTGTCTGTGTGGATTTTATCCCTCCTCGACCATCCCAACCACCAATTCCCTGACAAACACCCCCACAAACACCCTGCCACCTGCACTGACAACATTCCTCCACTGCCGTGATTAACCCTTGGCAGTCTTCAATCCTCCAATTGTCAGGACTTTTAGGGTTAAAAGGAGAGGAGGTATTCCCCGTTTGCAAACTTCTGGACAGATTTCTAGTTCATTTTAGTTTGTCTTGATGTGGTCATTTTAAGAAAGATGAGCAAATTGATGGCAAGTGAAGTTGCGGACTTTTTTACGCACAATAAATGCGGCATTCCCTACCCCTTGATATTTCCCGCCGGCGCACGATCGCGCCGGGTCGCTATCATCAAAGACTTGCTACAATTAATCCATGGACAATTAATGTGTGCCACTCCTCATGTATAAAATCAGATGACAGACATGTATATGTACAGTGAAGTCACAGAGCAGGTCTTGCATTTAACAGTCGTTGATCACAATATGATAATGTTTGACATCGACTCGCCATTTTATTTGGCATTAGTGCAACAAAATTCAGAAAGTTAATATTAAATCTGAGCCTTAAAATGTATGTTTGTCACTGAAAACCTTACCCTTCATCAAACACTTCCGAGGGCCCATTCAGCTGTGGTAAACCAAGCTTACTAGGTTCCATTTAATTCAAGAAATATGTAATTAGTCCTCTGTTTTCCTGCCACTGTTTCATCATACTAGCCTTGTCTCTAGACGTCTGTGTGGATTCACAGACTGAATTCCCCACGTGTACAATAATCATATGTGTGAGTACGAACTTGTCTGTGCCTTGATTTCACTACTGCTAGTACGGTGCAGGTGCGAACGGCTAATGTGAGTGCCGCACCACACCGCTGCGCTGTGCCTGCTGCCACTGCGTGCATGGGACTCACGCGCCATAACGCTTGCAAGTATCAGTTCCGGCAGGGACGACCCAATCATGCGGTGGAGGGGTGCAATTTAGTATGCCTCCAGCATAATTCGTTCATTAAAAGCAAGCATTTTAAAAGGGTTTGGAAGGCATTTATTTGTAGTACTTTGCAGAGAGTTTTCTTTACTTGTGAAGCCATTCTTAGTTGGAAATTTTGCAAGTTCTGTTTCAAGCAGTGGATTACGTTTCAAAGTGTTGATTCCGTGAATTCCGTCCGTTTTCCACAATTGCGGAAAATCATTTGCTCTAGTCGTGATTTGACATTAGGGTTTTGTTAGATCAGGGAGTGTTGACACAATATGGCAGAATGCAGTTTTTGTAATAAACAACATTTTCCAGAAAGAGCCAGAAAGTCTTCATTGTAACTGTACAAACCTCTGGGGAGGTAGTTTATCATTTCCAACGCTTCTCTGGACGACACTGGTTGGACGATTTGCTAAATAGTTGTAATGGCATGCTTCTAGCTTTAGAACTAAGCTGAGAAATGTGAAAGAATCAGAGCAGCCCCCTCCGCACCCCAGGGTGGATCTAGACCAAATGTTGAGGGAGCCAACATTGGTTCGGGGGCCTAGAATTATTGGGAATTCCTTCATGTAACCTTTTATGGCCTTTCTGAGGGGCGAAGCTTAATTTGGGAGTTCTTTTTTACGTAACTTTGAAGTAAGGGTAGCGAAATAGTCCCTCACAACCTTTTTCTTATTATTTGTCAACATACAAAACAATTTTTTGCTCCTTTTTGGGGGCCAAGGCCCCCTTTGGGGTACTACCTAAATTTGTCAATGTCTCCACCCCCCAAAGTAGTCAAGAAAATGCATGACGGTGAAGGGGTTCGTTTTTATACCTCACCATTTTTGGATCATCAGTTTCAACTTTGCATCAATTTCTTAACCCGAAACTGTCTTTGTCAAAACCAGTCTCCAACTTCACAATTTCATCTTTGGTCATATTATGAGGTGTTATTTATTTCGTTGAAATTATTTTTGCTTTTGTCTGTGCGAACTAGGCCGGGAACGCTATCAACTCATGTTGTCAGAGGATCACGAGACGGCAGTATAGCAAAGGGAGACAAGCTGTATGCATTGTCCGGGCCACCGCTGGTTCTAAATGCACATCTGGTAAATTGTCCTCTATGGAGCTATCTTTAGGCCCCACCCAGAGTAAGTCATCACATTAATGACAGGAAAACAACTTGATGAGCCTGCCCTTTGCATCGATGGTACCTGGTGTTTCCGTTTGTAAAAGTTCACCCCCCCCCAAAAAAAAAAATTTGCATACCAGGGTCACTGTTGAGGTTTGAATCTGTGACCCTTAAGATTGTATTTACTTTGGAGAGGCGGAGAGATTGCGGCAAAGACAGTCAACTGTTTTGTGATGATTTGGATCAAGATTTCCATAATGGTTAAGGATCAGATTTCAGTGGTTGGACAGCAGTAACTTCTGGAGTTGAACCATAATTTGTGCCACTTGGACAGAGCAGAAATACAGAAACGAGGGATGTCTCAAGATCAGGGTGTGCTACTCACGGAGCAAGTTCTTACACTCCAGTGAGAGGCTTTTTATCGACAAGTCACCCCAATCTCCTGGTATTACACAAGTTTACATCTCCCGGCCAGGTCTCAGTGCACAACTGCCTCAATTCTCTCTTCATCTCAAGTCAGGAATGTCTCGTTTGTGCAATGGGAGGAGCTGCTTGAAGTCATACTTGTGAATACCTGGGAAGGTTCCACTGGCCTACTCTGCAGTCGGAATGGATGGCAGCGTGGGTTGGCATGTAGGGTAGATGAATTGCAGCATTGACAAAACGCTTATAGCAGATGGTGATAAATTCATTGTAGATCATTGAGAACTCTGTCAAGCGATTGTGCTTGGGAAACAGAAAGGGGTCAGCAAGTAAGTTCATGGACGGGAAGCTTGCCTCAGTCATTCAAATTATATCAATTTGGGTTTTGCTGCACATATGGTCTGGTTTGTAAAAGATGTACATGTACAGGCCCAATTGCATGTCACTGAAGAATGGTCCAAAGTTGGGATCTGTGACCTGGCCAGCCTGTGACCCCTAAGTCTGGCTGCAGATTTGCGGGAACGTTTGCTTTCCTGTGTCCCTGTAGTTTGAGTGAGGTGTATACAAGATGATCACAGAATGCATCGGTGGATGTTGATGTTACTTGGCTGAGAAAGAGCAGGACCTGTGCTCAGATATTGGAGTCGCACTTTAAGGCATATCTGATGGTAACTATTCATAGATTTTAAGGTAGTTGTTTTTTAACATCTCAGATTTCAAACGTGGCTTTTTGCCTGCTGTAGGTCTCGGCAGACTGAATTTGTGTGTATTTTTCACACCACATAGTATTTCCAAATCAGTGCTACCCTTGTTGCCCAATTTGTGTTGCATTGTCTCACTACCTGTCTCTTTCATGGTGTTCACTATGTGATAACAACGGTTTGCTTGTCAGGTACCAGACTGATGAGAACTGTGTTAAACAAGACTTATAGTCAAGGCCCTTTCAATTTGAAACACTTCACATTGATTAATAATGAAATACTAAAGTTTTATGAAAGAATTATTTTTGCAAATGTTTTGAATTTAGAATACGGTGCTGAAATGGTGGTATATATTTACTTTCATTTTTTAGGGCTCCCGTTATTTTCTGTATGAAGCTTATGTGAGCATTGGTCCTTCTTTGAGTAAATAATTATTTTATTTGATTTAACGACAGTGTTCTGTTATGACAAAAATCTAGTATGTCACCTTGCAGAAAGTTTGGGGGAAATGCACTTAATTGGGGGCCTCTTCATGGGTTATTCTGTGTTGAGTCAACACGATTCTGGACCTGACCGTCACTGATTGAAATGAATTTCGGTGTGCTGATTGGTTTACTTGAGAAACCCCCAGAACCGAAATTTTTATGTCAGTCAGTCAGTTAGTCTTTGAGATGCAATTAATGAACTTTTGACTAATTAGCTTGACCTGCTTTGTTTGGACAGCCATATCTCTGGAAGTGAAGCACCCACAAAGATAAAATTTACATCGTAAGGTCTTGAAATGGCCTTCATTCATAAAATCAAAATCATTCCATGTACCGCCAAAAAATTATGCAAATATATGTCCTTTTACCTTGATTTGTGAAAATGCTATTTTTAAAAATGCTTAATTTTTTAATTGTTAGCTTAAGATGTAACCAACATTTCTGGAAAGATTTAGGATAGGCACTCTTACAGCTTTTAGTTATGTTTATTTGAACCTTGGCAAGCACTGAAATGTGTATGAATTGTATGTATGCTGTACATGTGCAGTATGATGCAGAGCACTGTATATGTGGACATGTACCATACATGTACGTGTAGGCCTACATAAAAACCGTGTCACCGTGGTCATGCAAAGAACAATTCGTAATTTGACTCATGAGATAATCCCTCTTACCCCCCTCAATTAGCAAAACTTAGCCGGTGGCCACAGCATTTGACCATAAGAGAGCCAGCTTATTTTGGTCGGGGGGGGGGGTCTGCACACACTCCCGCAGAACTCACTTATCCCGTGCCCAATCTTATTTTTTTTAACCCTGAAGGCATGTAGAAATGCTCATTTTCAGTACCCTGTGAAGTTTCAACTCAAACTGACAAATGGCTTTGTTTTAATGGCCATTTGAAGTCCAAGGCCTCATTTGTGTCATCCTAAGTGCATTGAGCGCATCTGTGGGAAAGTAAACGTCTCCGGCCAACATAAACAGTCACTGTGCGAGAATGGTACTTTTCCTTTTGATTTTCAAAAATTGGTGTAAAAATGACCAACAGAAGTTACTAAAAAAAATTACTCAAGGCTCAGTGCATGAGAAAAGCACTGGGATGATATGAGAGAAAAATGTCAGTGGGGTAGTACAGGGGTGAGATTTCTCAGCATTTTAGCTGATTTCAGCTTTTTTTGTTTGGGATTTCACCTTGTTGTCCTCACTGGCTGTGAACAAAAGTATAGGAGATTTTCGCAGTTCAGACTTCTTTATGACTTTTTCAGCTGTTTTCAGCTATTTTTATCATTGGTCAATCTCACCCCTGGTAGGAGGATTCTGACTCCCCCCTGCCTCTTTTAGGGTTTAGTTTGCCACAACCATAAACACCATAAACATTGACCAGTGTCTCAAAGCCTCCAATTGAGCCGGGTGAGAGGGATTTCCTCATAAGTCATATCATGAATTATACTTTGCAGTGCCAGGGTAACAGTTTTCAACTACACACCGTGTACTATACTAATTATTACCCTGTACACTGTGTATGTATGGTACATGTATATTTTACACACGTATATTTACAGTTCATATACATTGTACATTTTCTTTTTTCAGTTTTTGCCTAGGTTCAAATGAACTTAACTCACAAACCGTAAGAAAAAGCCCATTCCAAAATTTTCTGGAAATGTTGGTTACGTCTTAAGCTAACAATTGAAAAAAATTATGCATTTTGAAAGCTATACATTTTTGTAAATCAAGGTCAAAGGTTATATATTTGCATATATATTTGCATTTGCAGTGGTAGGTGGAATAATTTTGATTTTGTTTTTAAAATGAAGACCATTTTAAGAGGTTTAAAACAATGAAAATTTTATCTCTGTCGGTGCTTTCCTTCAGGATATGTGGCTGTCCAAACAAAACAGGTCAAGCTAATTAGTCAAAAGTTTGTTATCCCGTATCTCAAAACCTAATTGTTCGTTTGATGTAAACTTTCAGTTTTGGGGGGTTTCTCAAGGTATCCAGTCAGCACACCAAGTTTTGTTTCAACCTGTGACGGTTAGGTCCAAAAGTGTGTTGATTTGACACAGAATGACCCATATCCATTTTAGTAGTCGTTATTTACGTTTTGGAGTTTCCACTATGAAGACACCTTTACAGTTTGAAATGTGAAAAAACTCTGAAATTTGCTTCACAAATACGAGGTCAAGTTGGATGTACTTTTCATGACAGGAGCTCTGAAAAAAGGGCACTGCTTTGTAAACCGGTTTTATTTAAATTTGTTTTTTTAACTGTATGGCATGTTTTAGTCATCTCTTGAGATTAAAATTAATTTTTAAAATCTTAAGCCTAGAAACTTACCCCGGGAACTGGAAGATTCTGTGATTCATTTGTCATTTTCGTTAGAATGAGACTGAAAATAAAGAAAAGGTCACCGATACATCTCACATTATGATTACGAGATGTGAAGTGAAACCGACTTTTAAACCTTCTCTAAATGTGCCATGCAATATGAAAGTAATATTGAGGTGCTCAACACAGTCAAAAAAGGTTGTTGATACATGTAAATGTTATTTTTCTTACAGCATGATGTCATGTGCGTCTTTGTTCTTTGCTAGCCTAATGGCGCAATATATTTGGTAACCTGCTGTTTGTAAAAGGCTGTCAGATAGATCTATTTTGTTTCTTTTGTTTCTTGTGTAAAGTCTGTATGCATCTGACCCACGCACTGGCTGCAGGGGAGTCTATATTTAGAAAAAAAAGTATATAAATATACATATATTTTCAAGATAAATATTTTTCCTGTAAAGATCTCGCAAACAGCTACTAGCACAATTCAGTTTTAAAGGAAACTTCATTGTAAGTATTGTGAAGTTTTTATCATAGGTCACCTAAATTATTGCTCGTATTTAATCATTTGTTTAATTGCACGATGTGTACAGCGTCAGATCGCAGTAGTCGCCTGTTATCGGAGATCAGTTATCTCTGTACTGGAGTTGGGACAGGAAATGGGAGAGACTGTGCGTCTTACTGAGTTGATTCAGCAATGATTGGTTTAATATTCCAGCTTCTATAAAGTCGATATAAAATATCCTGTACGATTAACATCCAAAATTTTAGAAAGTATTAGATTGTGCTGTGAAAAAATACAATAGGAATGCTGCTTACAGAGCTTGCGCCGATGAAAGGGGTTGTGCTTTTAAAATGCTGAATGTTGTAAGCAAAAATTAATACATTGCGCCAATTACAAAGCAGATTTTGATGGACCGTCATGTTTGTGTAAATTTCACAGTTTTTTGTATGCTCAGGTTATGTTTAGAGCTGTTGTTTAAACCAATTGGCTTGTTATTTATCATATCTTTTAACCTTTTTTTTTGCTTCACTGTGGTTACGTTCGACTTCCCTTCAAAAGGAGAGTGGTATGTCCCAAATTATTTTCAAGATAGTGTTTGATTTGGGGCGTTCTATTTCTCTTTCTGGGGGTTGTTGTAAAGTAACCTTTATAGAAAACACTCCACTGGGCAGCTAAACAACAAATGAGTGGCTTGTCGCCCTTGGTAGCGCACGCCAAAGGCAAAAGTCATCTTTTTATGTAGTGACTGAGTTAAATTTTACGACTGATGAACTCAACCGACTACTTATTGACAAATGAGGACATGTACACTTACAATCCCCTTACGTCAAGTGCTGTAGCCAACTGCTCTGGACTGCCAGCCATGCATAGCCTGTATACGGTGACACTGCCCGACTTAGCTGTTAATGGTAGGCTACAGCGCTCGCGCTCTGTTCATTTAGTTCATACGTAGAGACGGAACAATGCCCCCACAGCAGATGGTTTCCTCGTTTACATAAATGACTTGATATAATGTTTCATATTAGTGTCTTTCTGTCCAAACAGCCCTTCAGATATCTTTTTTATCGCGATCAAATCCTCGTAAGTCAACACAAGTCCATTCAAAGTCACCAAGTCTGGACTCAAATCTCAAGCGGCACAAATACTTTATGGGAGAAACTGTTCCTTTGTCTCTGTCCATGCGCAGTTTGCATTCTTGTGATTTGAGTTGTTATTGATTTACAATATCACTTGTCTGGATCCCATTGCTACGTGTATAAAATCCAATACATATAAAGGTTGTGTTATTTCAAACACTTGTTTGGCCGATTCAAATGCAATCTCTCGGTTGTCAAATGTATGGATGCTTCTCTCTGAATTTTTTTCTGTAGATTTGCTTGAAAGAAAATTGTTGCGGTATTAAACGCGCATCCAGATTAAGCAGTCATTCAAATATTGCGGTCCTTAAGAAGTAGGTTTGTGGCTTGCAAGCAGTTTGGAACCGTCCCAACCAAAATGTGAAAAAAGTACAGTGTTCATTTAAGATGGCAGTGACAAGGAGTTGACTTCAACGAAATCTGACAACTTTCAAATTGGTACACCCTTGAAAGAAAGACTCTTCTTGAAATACAGAAGCGACGTTGTGTACATTCAGATTTTTATATATTTTGTAAAAAAAAAAAGAGTACAGAGAAACTGTCAAGACCGACCATTCACCGAATGAGCGACGTTGTTGTTGCGGTGACTTTCTGTGCCTTTGAAAGGTCAAAGGTCGAAGTAATACCATTCGGTATTTGCTCATCAGCGTCGTATTGTACATTTGCTAAATGACTAGTGCTCGATGTTTAGCAACATCGGTATCTGTTGTTCAAGTATTGCTTATAAACCGTAGAAAACGTCTTTCTGGTGAACTTATTGTATAAAAGTACATCATTTTATTATATTCTGAAATTCCTGTTTTCAGTCTCAACGCGCGTGGGGCTTTTTTGAGCGACCACATATAGCTGTATCGATGTATATTTTGAGAAAAAAAAATTATAATGTTATTAAGTCTTATGGAACGTACTTTGGAATGAAAAGGGCAGACACTGTAGGAATGACCCACCACAATCATGTACATGAAGAGGCAGATGTACACACACCTTGAGTCGTTGCTGAAAAAATGCCTTGTTGATTTTTCAGAGGTAAATGATCCACCCTGCCCAGGCCGTTTGTAACCTTGGTATACTTTTACTTGCAGTAGTTTCACTAAGGTAGGAGGAGCGGGCACTCTTCTCTTTTTAACCCTTTTAACCTCGCGTAACTGGGATTTCTTTTCTTTCTTTTAACGTGCTAAAAGTTGTGTATATCCCCTCCATGAAATGTCGACATGGAAGATTATAATCGCAATCACACGTTGGAGACTTTGCCAAGAGTTTCCAGTTGAAAACGACTCTCGTATAAATGCTCTAGCAATTGGGCACTTCACGGGTTGTTCTGTATCTTTATTTCCCGTTTTTGATTCCTGTTGATCGTGATGCGCCCACTCCCCCCCCCGGCGATTGCGCAAGCCCAAGACCAACTTGGTTAGGGTTGAGCTTTGCGGAAATCAAATTCTTGACTGTCCTGTTTCTTCCTTGTACATACACGTAAACTCAGTGTTTGGCTCTTCTGTCTTACACTGTGGCAATACGAAAATACTTACCCAAACAGTACGAGCATGCTGATCTCTAGGTCAGCATGCCTATAGAAACAGTGGAACTTGCTCTTTTTGGCGCCATTGTATGGTCTTGAATCGTGTGCAAATACGAACACTTAAGTATTATGATGCGGCATTTTAGTCACATTGGTGTATATATATTTTTGGAAGTGTGTAATCTGAAAGGTATATGCCTGAAGCAGGAGCCATTCATCACTTGCGGTTTAAGTTATCCCATTTGGGTGTCGGCGTTATCGAATATTACATGCATTCGGTGGTGTATGACAAATATTGTGTATGTATAAAAATGTTTAGAAAAAAACTATATTCGTGTACAAAATTAGGCAAGCAAAGACTACGTAACTTTTATCTTAATATATTACGGTAATCCACGTTGATCGCGGAGCCTTATGTAATTGTTATTAAAATAAGTTATGAATTTTGTGTGACATTAACAACTGTAATACCAATAATTCTATTAAAAGGGATTTCAACATTTAACGATTTTGACGTAGTTGGTTACGGACGATTGTGAATTAAAACGTATGTAGTTATATAATTGTGACGTTACATTTTTATGCAAATTTTAAAATGTTCGACTGATTTGATTGGTTGGTGAATGAATGACGTCGTTTGCGGATGTACCATGCAAGAAAATCCTTGTAACTAATGCTTGAAGTAAAAAGAGCTACTGGAAATGAGGTTAGTTGGAACGAAGCGTCGCAACAACGTTGTAAAGTGATTTGGAAACTGTGTTGAATGAAAAAGCTCGGTGTCATTGAATAAGTGGGAGAGGCTTGTCGCTGAAAATATTGAAGTCACCATTAGTGTACATTTGTAAGCATTGTGTACAGTTGATGCATGGGCTCTTGGGGAAAGCAAAGAGGAGCTGCTCGAGTGTAGGGGTCTCCTGAGAGGTTTCAATGCCTTGGAAAAGTTCAGTAAAGTTTGCGTGCACTTGTCACAAATTCATTATTTCAACTAAAACATTTCTGGATGAAGAATCGAAATGCCAATCCCCAAAACAAAAACTGACCATGAGAAGGGAACCCGACAGTTTTCCTCACTAGAACCACGCCTGCTGTTAAATTCCACTCTGGATTTTGTCGGCACTTTTTGCCGAGGACACGTAATGGTTGCAGCAGAATTCACAAGCTCTTGATTGAAGTAGGAAATTGCTCTGAATGGCATATTCTCAACTCCGCCCCATTTTTCTGATATTGTTGAGCCTGTAGATTAAATATCGTGTATGTCAAGGAAAAAGTTGAATGAAGGTTTTACTGAAAAGCGCTCGGATTTTTCTTGTAAATGGTTGTTAGTAAGGGGACAGACGAAAACCTTGAAATTCAATTTTAGGGACCCGTGACTTATGATGACGTTGATTTAAAGAAAGTGTATACACAAGACTT